ACATTACGGCAAACGTCTTTTAACTATAATTTGTACAATATCAATTTGTCATTTTCTCTAAAAACATGGCTAAGAGCTTAGGAATAAAAAAAAACTAATAATGTCCCGAGGTCGAAAAATCCTAACAGTATCAATTATCAAGAATTGCCTACTTTTTTTGGAGGAAGATTCTCTGTCACGCCCCGATCCCAACATACGTTCATGATCAACGCGTGACGTCACAAAATACCCATACATCTATCATACTCCGCCTTCGGGATACGGGCCAAACACAACTCACGATCCAAAAGCATAATAATTTTTCATATACTTTATAGCTGCATCTAACCTCCTCATTAGATTGCCTACATATCCTAAACAGGGATCAAACCATTCGTAGTTTGTCATTCATCAAACTCTAAACTTTTCGTAAAATACTTCTAGCAAAAACATAAAGTACCATACTACACATCAACCATAAGCCAAGCAACAATTGTTATCTTGCCATGCACACAATATGTCATTCACACACGTATGCTTTCCAACACTATTCCACAATCATAACAATCAATAACATATACAATGCACCAAAATGCAGGGCTAGAGTGACACGGTTCGACCGAAGCCTACATCTCTGAAGCTGAAATCAAATCCAAGGAACCAACAAGTCAAATGATGCGATTTCGGACCACTCAACGAAATCCATCAACATTGGGTTCTAGACCACTCAATGGAACCAAGACACCAAAGAGGATTTCGGACCACTCAACGGAATCCAAACCAAGATACAATTTCGGACCACTCAACGGAATCGTTAAGTAGAAGGGATTCCTGACCTTTCAACGGAATCCGAGTGGGTATGATTCCAAACCACTTAACGGAATCGTGGAGTACAATGCATATCGAACCACTCAATGAATCCAAGCTGGATACGATTATGGACCACTTAACGGAATTGCGGATCATAAGGGATTCCAGACCACTCAACGAAATCCAGACAGAGCAGGGAACCAGACCACTCAACGGAACCCCAGTTTCGGATCACTCAACGGAACAGAGCGGAAGTCCAAGAAATAAAGCAATGCTCGAAGAAGAAGATATGAAACAAGTACTCAAAATACAAAAGCTCAACGAAATAAGAAATGGAACAATGCACAAGGTACACAATTAGAACAGCTTAACGAAATGAGAAATGAAATAATGATACGATGTGTGAAACAAGTCTCGAAGTAACAAACCCCATGACAATGGGTTCATGGTCCATTACTAGCCTTTACATTTCATCACATCATACCAAGCAGAACCATAGGCACAATCTCATCGTGCAGGCAGTGATCACCCATTGTGGATATACCAAGCATGATCACCCCTGAATACGTATTGTCCCCCATCGCGAATATACCAAACAGTACCATCCATGTACCATTGCTTCATGGTGCAATCTCATCATCACACATTATACATAATTATACGCACACACTCTATCGATTTCCACATGTCAACCAAGCATCTAGTCATATGGAGCACAACACAAGGAATTCCCTTAATTACTATTTCTACTAAAAATCTAATAAAGTACTTGACTCATCTTCTGACTTTCGGATTTGGATCCTCTCCTAAGCCCAAGGTGAGGATCCTCCTGACCAAGGAGTGTGGACCGTTGGATTAAAATCTAACGGCTACAAATAAATGGTCCTTTTAAAATTATAATAATTATAGCCGTTGGATTTTCATCCAATGACCCACACTCCTTGGTCAAGAGGATCCTCACCTTGGGCTCAGGAGAGGATCCAAATCCCTGACTTTCAACTCTATCTCATGCTAGGTAGTAATACTAAGTTTATATAGACATTCCGTTGGCAATCATATCTAAATAATTATCAAACAATATTTAGATCCCATAATAATACAAATAATAAAGAATAATACTAATAAAGGGATTTCCCTAGAACCTCCTACCTCGTGTTCGACTACCTTTATCAACACAAGTCATCCAAACTTTCTAGCACAACACCCAAATCTAAACCAATTTACAAAAGCATGAACAAATGAAAACAAACACAAGTAAACGCATATTAGCAAGCATGGAAGTGAGTAATTACAAATGATTAACTTGTGTAACATAGGCATTATTTTAGTACAACTTAATACTTCAAATAACAACACTAGTATAAAGCAAAGTAATTTAAAGAAAAACTCGGATAAGAATTGCATAATGTAGAAATATCACTCTTTTTCTATACAAAAGTTGCATATAACTGTTTTGATCAACCAAGTTTAATCTCATAATGAACGCTCAAACCCGAACCAAATGGTACCATCTTAAATGGTTTTTGGAGGCTTGTTTTGTGTACTTTAAAATCATATAATAGTGGTAGAGAACGGAGCCCTAAATTGAAAGTTATGCCAACTATAAAATGGAGTCCCAAAACTAAAAATTGAGAACTTGATGTTGTCTGGCAGCTTTGTGGCTCAACTTTGAACATAGTTTTGGTCAACCAAAACTCAACGGAATTAAGTGAAATCAGAGGGATTTTGATCATGGACATGTCTAGTTTCAATACACGTAATTTTGGATAAAAACGAACTCATAAGGACCTGGAAATCGAGAGCCAAAATAGGCTACTTGAAACATAATTTTTATCTGTAAAACAGAAGTTTCCGCAATATAGCACCATACTCTTTTAATTCAAATTACAATTTCAAGACACTTCCAAGCTGTCCAGAGATCAAGTTTAACTTCTATTTCAATGTGTTAGTTATATCATGCTTAAATCTTCCTTTCAGCCAAAGACCACAGACCCGTACTAGTTTGCATCCTCATCCCTTTCGGCTAGAACTTTGCTCCGTTCTCCATTGTGCTTTTCTGCATCATTCTTGTCAACATCTTCATCCTCATCCCCTTCACCTTGACTCGTACCAAGTTGCATCCTCTGATAACATTATCTCTCGTAATTTCAGCACCACTCATTTGAAACCATCCAAAAGTAGGTTTGATGATTCTGGGAGCTCCTCCATTCGTTATCTCTGAGTTTGATTTTTATTTTTCCAAGAACAGGGAGTAGGGGGAGTTCGTGGCGAGATAGGGACTACGGTGATGATGGTTTGATGATCAGGGTTGGCCGGATAATGTGGCTTTTACGCTGGTCGGTCGTGTGTGTGTCGTATGAGGAAGGGAAGAGAAGGGTGGAGTGAGAGAGTTCTGTACACCGGTCGGTCGTGTGTGTCTCGTATGAGGAAGGGAAGAGAGGGATAGAGTGAGAGAGTTATGGAGAATTCCATAAATGAATGGAAGAGACGGAAAGAAGTGAGAGAGTGCCTTCCCCAAAACCCACCACAAGAAAATTAAAATCCTCTCTTTTCCTCATTTAAAATTTAATAAAATTTAATATAAATCCTCGAAAATAATATAAAATCTCGTTAATACAAATACGTAGTTTACAATAGTAAAATTCAGGAACGAGATTTCACATTATTTCCCCTTTTAATCTCTCTTCTTTTCCCTTCTTTCTTACCTGAACGGTTACGATTAAACCACGTCAACACTTAAATTGATTTTTTTTTATATAGACAAAAAACAATGTGTGAGAGGAAGAGAAGGAAGGGGATGAGATAGGAATAGGAGGGGAGAGAATCATACTCCTACTTTTTCTCTCTTTAAAGAAATATCTAATTATGGTAGATAAACTATTGTGGATTTGAAACGGCTCAATTAAGTAATATGTAATAAATTTCAAGTAAACTATGTACAACAAATCATTAGAAAATTTTGGATGTCAACCATGCATAAGGAAAACTTTGATACCTGTCAACCATGCATAATGTAATACAGGGTATAATAAAGAGCGTGTGAGTGGATAAGATTACAATTTAATTACTATAATACCCTTATCATAAATTAATACTAGTTTACTAAATTTTAATTACTAAACTACCCTTAATTTGTAATTGAATACTATTGTACCATCATTGTTTGTCATATACTTCTTCGTTTGTAATACTAAAATAGAAACTTACGAGTATTACTGGTACATTTGGCATCCGCTACTTCCAAATCTTGAATTTATTCCATAATCTTTAAGATTTTGTCGTTCATAATCATTATTTTAAAATCATCACGATTTGTCGTTTTCGATCACTGCTCCAAAGTAGTATCTTCGTAGCCAATTACACGCCTTTTCAATACACAAAACTAAATATGATCTTGGAACTCATGTTGCCAAGAAAGGTTGGTGTTAATCCGAAAGAAAAATAGAAGGAATTTTTGCATCCTTTGGGTAGTACAAAATTTCACCAACACGGTAACTATGACTTGAAAGATTTGTGTAAGGCGTAACCGCGTAAGATTGGAATTACAGATAAAATGAGAACCAACATTCGTGCAAGTCTAGGCCCAAGCTGGTGGAGCCACAGAGAGAAACTGTGCGAGCTTTACAAAGCCTCTCACAAAACCAAATATATGATTTACATAGTGTTATTCGCTCATTTTTACGTTAGACATGTTATTTTTAATTTTTGGTCATTAGATCGATTAAATTGAAGAAAATTAATGACTAAAATATCACAAGAGTGTGGGAAAAATAGTTGTGTGAATAACATTATTTTATATTTTTGGTGTGTTGTTGTGTCACCAAACACAAAGCGACCCCTGAAAAAATAATTAGAGCTATGATTTTTGAATTTTAGCTTAATTAGAACTTTGGTCTTTTAAGTTAAAATTTGTGAACAGTAGACTATGAACTTATAATAATGTGATCAATGGTCATTTTGATTAATTCTGTTATAACGTCCATCCATTTTTGCTCATTTAAGACTTTTATTTTGGTTGCAAATTATAACAAAATTAGCAAAAAGAATTATTGTTCTACATTATAACAAGTTCAGACATTAATATTTACGTGACCAAAACTCCAATTAAGCCAAAATTTAAGGACTGCTGCTACAATTTTTTGAAATTTTTTTTTTTCACTTGGTTGAAAATATAAAAGCGAACGAACAAACGTAATAAACCTGTGCATTCATCATCATCTATCGTCTATCATCCACTGTCAAAGGAAGAATTCGGAGATTTCGATTGGTATAAAACCAAAAACCCTAATTTAAAAAAAAAAAAAAAAACAGAAAAAATGATGAAATGAGAGGAACATGGCTGGGGAACACGGAACGAGAACGCAACTATGGGGGACGTTAGAGGAGCTCTTGCTCGTTTGCGCCGTGAACCGCCATGGCACCCAGAGTTGGGACTCCGTCGCCTTGGAAGTCGGGGGCCGCTGCTCCGCCAAAGCGACAGCGCTCCTCACTGCTCTGAACTGTAGGGACAAGTTCGAGGACATCAAGCGGCGGTTCGTATTGGGAGACGACGACGATTCGTCCAGGAGCCTGGGTGCGATGGTTGACGAGCTGCGAAGGGTGAGGGTCGAGGAGCTCCGACGCGAGGTCCGCCGTCGCGACGTTTCGATCGTGTAAATTTCGCTGCCCTTGCGAGAGATCTGAGTGTGAGGCGTCGTCGTTTTAATGGTCTTAGATCTGAGACTCTGGTTTTTTACAGGTCGTTGGAGTTGAAGGTGAAGAGGTTGGAGGAGGAGAGGGAGCGCAGCTTGAAGGAGGACGCCGAGGCCACCCGTCCGAGCAAAGATCTCAAGCGCGGGGGAGATGATCAACGGGATGGTTCGCCGGAGAATCTCGCCGGAAAAATGAACTCCGGCTCGGACTTCAATTCCGACGAGCGTGAGAATCGATCCTTCAACGAGTCTAATTCGACGAGCCAAAGGGGCGCGGCGGAGAAGCAGGCGGAGGGGAAAGAGGAGGAGCCCGGGCCGGAACGAAACGAACCAGATCCGATGCGGGCTAAAATCCGGTCCGAACCGGATCGCGATTGCTCTGTTAACGGCAAAGTAGCAGACGATGACGACGAAGACAATCAAAACAACAAAAACGGCGATGATACGGCGAAGGCGAGTCAACTCGACGACTCGAGCGAGTTGTGGGAATCGGGTGGCGAGTCGAAGCTGGAGGCAAAAAGAGGTCGTCGTCATGGTGCGGTGGCGTCGAGGCAGCAGAACAGCGACGTGCAGAGCTCGGCGAGCTTGTCGAAGAGAAAACGACGTCGTGGCGGCGGAGGAGAGGGAGGAGGAGGAGGGAGCAGGAGTAGGAGTAGGAGCAGCAGCGGCGAAGAGGCCGAGGGTGACGAAGTATCTCCCGCCACCAGCAAAGGGGTTAAGCAGCTCAAGCTGGTTAAATCTGAGCCGTTGATCAAGGTCCTCAAGATCATCCGGTCTCATCGGCTCGGCTCCGTATTCGAGCGGCGGCTTCGGAGCCAGGTATTGACAAATATCCCTAAAACAAATTTTAACGTATATAATTTTAATTTTTAATCTTAAAAGTGAAAAATCTAAATTAAATAAATTATCCAAAAAGAATTTATAAAATCCGGAAAATAATTAAGACTTGAACAATGGGATTGGGAAAATAAAAAGAGGTCGTAGTTCATGGACGAAGGTGGTGAGGTCTGAGATTAGATTTAGATGTTTGGCTGTGGGCCAATTAGAACGTGACAAATCACGATGTCCAGGGTGTTTTGGTCATATGGAGAATAAAATAGGGGTTATTTGGTACTTTAAAGAGTAAGATCGAGGCAGTTTGGGATGGTACGCTGTGCTTGGTGAGAGGTTGTTACCTAGCTTGCAGTGCATGAGCGTTACGGATAGGACAAAAACTTGGTCAAGATTTTTTTTTACCAAAGAAAAAAAAAAACTATGGTCAAGGTTTTGGTGAAGGGTTGGGTTACAACCATACGCCTTAGGTGGTGGGGTACTGTACGCTGTTTAAAATTGTGATAAATTTTTCAATGTGACGAGAATACGGTTAAATATATTAAGTGTTTTAATATTAATGGTGGATACTTGACAAAAAAAATTTCTAACCACATTTAGAACCGGGCCGTATTTCAGCACAAAAAATTTCTCTAAAGTTAGGATTTAGAAGATGATGATTATTATTTTTTGACAAGTATAGTCTAAGCTACTCTATTTTATTAATGATACATACCTAGTAGTTTGAAAACTCAACGGCTATATCATGTATATAAAAGTTTAATAAATTTTCATGACGGTTTTACATCTTACATAAAATTTGTATTGCCAAGTGATATGTACTGTTATATCATAGCCTTAATTTTATAAAAAAAAAAAAATCAAACTTGAATGTTTAGGAGATTATAAGCCGATCAATTGACCAAACCCAGCTTTAAGAGATTATTAAATCCATCCAATAGTCCAACCCAAAGGAAGCGTTACGAAGTACCAATAATGAGGGCGTGTGGCAGGGGGTGTTGGACACTTATTGGACGTGTTAGTTTTTTGAGCTTGTTTATTGGCTTTTTTTTTTTAAATTGCTCTATTTTTTTTATATCTCAATTTCCGAAGTTATTTATATTTTTCCATTACATTTATTTTATATTTTTCATTACGTTTATTGGTAGTAGTAAGTAGCAAGCCCATGATCTTTCACTTGGAGTTTAGGACTAGAACAACTTGTCTGGAATAAATTCACTGCTACAGTAATATTCTGTGTTAATAATAAATGTTTTTGTATTGTTAATACAAAACTTCGTATGACATTACTCGTGCCATGCAAAGGACTAAATGGTGGTCTTTTATTTTAGAAAGTGCTCTAATTTGTCTCTTTCATAAACATTTAGGACATAAATGTAGTTGTTAGGGAAGCATCAATCTACTTCACTCGTATATAACTTATAAAAAAAATACTATTCTTACCATCCATTTGTAATATTATTTATACAATCTTTTTAATAGAGATGAGACTCGCATGTGTCGGTGAGCTTTACCTCTATAAAAAAGTGGTACAAATAAATAATAAGTGTAGCACATTCATGTTATGTATGTGAATACAATAGAAGATGGAGGTTACGTAAAAAGCAAAATGTGCAATCCATGTAATAAGAGTAGGTAGGTTAGACGTTACACAATGCATTACCATATTTTCTTTAGGGGTGTGATATTCACACATCCTATTTTACTTCTCACACACATTTTTAATTTTCGGCCGTTGGATCAGATGAATTAAAGAAGATCAACGGACATAAATTATCAAAGGATGTGTGGATAGCACACCCCTTTCTTTATTATTAATATAAAGTAATAATTTAAGACTTATTTTTGCTCACCACTTGATGGTGCTTATTATCATTATATGATCGTTAAATGAGTTTAAATTTTCAAATTTATGCTTTTATTTACTAAATATATCTCGCAGTTTAAAATCATCTTAAACAGTGATTTGGTCCGCAAAAATAATTTCTAGCATTTGTGATGTTTTTTTGGTTTCTGGTAAAAAAGTTACGAGTGCTAAATATTAATAACAAAAGCCTAAAATTTTTGTGCAGGAATCAGAAAGGTACAAAAGTTTGATTCGGCAACACATGGACCTACATATGATTCAATCCAAGCTTAACAAAGGTGTGTACACAGAGGATTGCATCCGCTTGTTCTTCCGTGACCTCCTCCTCCTTTTCAACAACGCCGTCGTCTTCTTCCGCAAGAACTCACTAGAGCACAACGCAGCTCAAGAGCTCCGCTCCATTGTGCTAAAGGAAATGAACGACCAGCTCCCGAAACCACAATCCGCAACCGAAACCGAAAAATCGAACGTGCCCAAGATCGAAACCAAAGCTCCGAATATCGAGTCCCATGGCTCTGAGAAACCCACCAAGTCTTCCATTGTTGTGTGTGGAAAACTTGGTTCTGTCAATGCACTCTCTGATGCGAAGAATCGGAAGGGAGATAAGATCGAAGAGAAAGCGAAGGCGGCGAATGTGAAGAAGGCGGATGGTGCTGCATTTGTGAAGGTTGAGGACAAGGGGGTTAGGAGACGGAGGACGCAAGAAAGAGGCGGGTGGAGAGGCACGAGCACGAGGGGCAGGAATGCAGGGAAGCCGACCAAGCCGCACGAGTATGGTGTCAATGAACTCAGTTCACATGACGGTTTGGACGCGTTGAAAGCGGAGAAGGAGAAGAAAGAAAACGGAAGGAAGAAGCAAGGCGCGGCGAGGTTCTTGAAGCGAATGAAGCAGACCTCGAGTACTGAAGTGAAGAAGGAGAATTCGGATGGTACCGAGGAGGATAGCGAGGAGAGCGAGGACGAGAAGAAGAAGAAGAAGAAGCCGACGAGGGTAAGGAGGAAGCCGGAGGTTGAGAGGAAGGAGAGGGTGACGCGGAGTTCAACGGAAAGCGGAGGAGGGAGGGGAGGGGGAAGAAGGAGTCAGGAGAGCAATGGGAGGGGAAGAAGAGGGGTTGGGAGGCCACCGAAGAGGCCGGAAACTTCGGCGGCTGGGGCGGGTAGCGGGAAGAGAGGGAGAGACAACGGGGAGGCGGGTCAGGTGGGGAGTGCAGGGAGGCCGAGAAAGCGTACAAGGAGGTGAATGTGAACATTGCTGTAAGCTGTAAATTATTTTTGGTGTGGTGGTTTGGGTTAATTTCTGGTCTTGCTTTGTTGCTATGCTAGGTTTTTACAGTCTTTTTTTTTTTTTTTTTTTACCTTTTTGCCCAAGAGGTAAAAAAGAATTACGAGAGAGAGAGAGAGAGAGAGAGAGAGATTTGTTGTGAACTTGTAGAATGTTTTGGCAAGAAGCTGGGCTTTTTTACTGCAATAGGAAAGAAGCTGGGCCCAAAACCCCCGAAAACAAAGGAAGAAGTTAAAGATAATACAAAATAATAGTATTGGAAAGAGGAAGCGTAATGGGTGGCCCAACAGTGAATGCACAATTGTTCGTGGATCTAGTCGGAAGTGAACGCTTCCCTGCTCGCCAAGGCAAGAGAAAACGTTACCCTAGGGGCCAGGAGGAAATTATTACTCCTATGAAAACTAGGAGATTAGTCAATTCATATAATATTAACAATTTTCTTCCTCGATGGTCTGATAAGTTATGGAACCCTTTTTCTTGGGTTAAACGTGTGACTTATACTACTTTTAGTTTAGTGTAAACCCGTCTGACAAATTATGTTGTTAGACTTTTAAATGAAAATTATGAGACATGTTTTTAGATGATGATTGATAGTTTGAACAAAAAAAAAAAAAAAAAACTATTACATTAAAAAGATTTTAAAATTTTTGTTCTACAACTTTATTTTTGGTCTGATAGTGTACATCTGAAATTTTGTGTTCGATTTTCTCGCTCTAATTCACTCGTATCAAAAGAAGGACATCCCTAACCGTAAATAAAAGATAAAATAAAAGAGCTGCTCAACTGATACTTTGTATTTCTTCTTGGATTGGATCATTGAAGACGGAGGTAGAGCAGTCTTGTTTGTGAGGGACCATGAAAGAGTTACTGGGGCTTGCATCTTCTGTGCAGTTTTTACTGTCACCCTCAGCGTGGGAATGGCTGCTGCTTTCAACTTCTCCCTTTTGGTTTGAGACTTGGACTTGGTCTTGGGGTTGCTTGTTAACCTTCATCCTATGTTTAATTAATCAAGTGGAACAAGGGTGAAATAAGTAATTAAGCATCATAAAAAAAAAAGATAAAATGAGAAAAATTCAGGTGTAAATGAGGATATTTTCTATCTCTATTTGTCACTCATCGTTTGAATAATGAGATACAAAGACAAGATTATATCCCCATTTACATATCAGAATCTTGTCAAGAAAAATTTGGGTATAACTAGGGATCTATTTCGTATTTATCTCACTTATGATATTTATGTTTAGTAGTTGAATGCATAGACGTAAATATATTCTTAGTTACGTGTAAGAATCTCGTCAGACATACGTCATCGAAGTAAAAATTTTTGAATGTAATCAGAGCTATTTTAGTCTCTGTCTCACTCATCACACATGAATGGTGAGAGACAAAGACAAAAATATACTCCCGGTTACATGTCAGAATCTCACACGATTTACTTCAATAAAAAAAACTTGATAAATAAATTAAAAAAAGTGTATAACACTCTTACCTTCGCCTAACCTTTATCTGCACCAGATAGAGCTTAAACTGAACATCGTCCAGGAATTGGAAATATGCATATCTCCATGTCCTCTTGAGAAGCAAAGGGCAGCAGAATCCCAAGAACCCTACAACGAAACCGAGCACAACGGATAACCCAATCCATAGACTTTCGTCGTCCAAATCCTGGCTTTTCTTATTCTCTCCATCATTCCCATTACTTGACAAGCACTTCGGAAGTGGGGGGCCGCAAAGTTTTGGGTTCCCTTCGAATGCAGAGGCGTTGAAGCTTTGTAGCTGCGTGCCGGTCGGTATTGATCCTTCAAGATTATTGTACGAGACATTGAAAGAATTCAAGAAACTAAGGCTTGCCAATGACAGTGGGATCTTTCCGGAAAAATGGTTCATGGAAAGGTCTAATTCCTCCAAGTTCTTGAGGTTGGATATTTGCTCTGGGATTTCGCCCAAAAAGTTGTTCATGTTGAGATCCAGCTTTTGTATCAGCTGCAGCTGGCCTATCTCAATGGGAATTCTCCCACTAATGCTGTTGTTCTTCAAGTCGATCACGCGAGGAAAGTAAGACAACTTGTACTGCATAAATGTTCTGTTGGTTGAGGTGTAGATAGGCAGTTCGAGAACATCATCGTCTGCTTGACGAGAAGTTCCTTCGGATAACAACATGGGAAGTGTACAGAGTTCCCTTGGAAATTCACCCGAAATTCGATTGGCTCCCAATCCTAAAACAAAGAGCCTTGGAAGAGCCCCCAGCCAACTAGGAATCGACCCAGTGATTCTGTTAAAATTCAGAATCAAGATCCCTAGCTTCTTGAGCTTCGATAACCATTGAGGTATTTCGCCGTTGAGCTGACAGTTACTCAAATCTAGCATTTGAAGATTTTGGAACCCGTCGAAATTAGCCATTGCTTCATCACTTGGAATTTTCTCTCCATAAAAAGTTGTCGAAAGGATGAGTACCTTGAGACTTTTGCATCGCATTAGTATCCTCATTGCCCCCGTGATGTTTGTCAATCGGCTGTAGCTGAGGGAGAGGAAGGACAAGGATTTCAGTGAAAGAATCTCGGGTTGTATCTGTCCCTCTAGATTGTTTTTGCTCACTCGAATTGCTTTCGGGGACTTGCATGAGTAAAGGGTTGTTGGCAAGAAACCGGTGAAGTTGTTATGGCCAAGATCAAGTATTGTTAGTTTAGTAAGATTGGAGAAATTAAGGGTGGAGATGTTTCCTTCAAAAAGGTTGATTCCGAGATTCAGTTTGATAAGGTTTGTGCAGTTCATCAAGGATGGGGGCAGAGAGCCTTTTAGACTGTTAAATTGAAGGAACATGTGTTGTAATTTGGACAGCTTACCAATGTTTACAGGGAGAAAACCGCTCAATCCGTTGGACTGGAGGTCAAGGAATGCAAGGTTGGTGAGGTTGACAATTCTTTTGCTTATGGCACCTTGTAGCGAATTGCGAGGCAACGCAATTTCTTGAAGTGTGGTAGCATTGTAGATGTCATCTGGAAGTAGTCCCGAGAGGTTGTTGTAACCAGCTCGAAACACCTGTAGTTTGGAACACGCACCTAGTCCGCGAGAAATATTGCCACTGAATCCATTGAGGGAGAAATCGAATAGTCTAATTGAGGGAGACAAATGAAGACAAATGGAGGACGGGATGGACCCCGAGAAGCTGTTGTTCGTGACGTTGAAACTAGTCATATTCGAAGCATGTCCGAAGAATAAGGACGGAATTTCTCCATGGAAGTGATTGCTGGACAAATCAACAATCTGTACATTACTTGGAAGCTGAGAAAGTGAGAGCTCTCCAGAGAGAAGGTTATAGCTCAAATCGAGGATCTCAAGGCGATTCAAGGACAAGAAGAATCTGGCTTCGAGTGAACCATAAAGTGAGTTGTGGGAGAGATTGAGGTGTGTGAGATGGGTGAGATTTCCAAGTGATGTGGGAGAAATAATACCCCCATTGAGGCCTTTGGATGGTAACTGCAATCGCGTGATCCAAAGGTCCTGATTACAAGTGATGCCTTCCCACTGGCAACAATCAACGGAATCAGTAGTCCAGTTCAATGGAGGAGAAGACAGAGAGCGAGAGAAGGTGGTGAGAGCGCTGCGTTCGCTTGGATCGCAAGCATCATTCGTAGATATAATGGAATTGAATATGAGGAAGAAGAGGAAGAAGAGGAAGCCATGAGAGATTGAATGATCCATCTTAGGTTAAGATTCTCACAGGTTTGTTTATATATATATATAATACGCATATAGACGTAAACATACAGTGGTTCGTTTGGATGTGTTTTTAAGATGACTGAAAGTGATTTTAGTGAAAATATTTTTAGAACAAATCCTTAGTAAAAATGCAAGTAAATTCTAGAAAAACACTTAAAGTGTTTTTGGAATCTAAAAATATTTTCTCTAAAAACGTTTTCAGTCATTTTAAAAGTACATTCAAACGAGCCATAAGTCAAATGTGCACCATTTTGTGCAGTATATACATCTTTTGGAAGCCATGACAGTTACATATGAACATTGTTAACTTGCAACTTGCAAGCTTTTCAATGGATCAATATATAATATTTGTCTGCAATTTCTCAATATCCTCGAGGGAAGAGATCATCTTCGAATCATTTCCTCCTAATCTATCAAATCAGAGGATCTGGACAATTGAAATTTGATCTAACGACTACAAATGGTCCCTCCTAATCTACCAAATCAGAGGATCATGACTATTGAAATTTGATCTAACGGCTACAAATAAGGGCCCACTTTAAAATGACTTTTCCTAATTTAGTGGATTAAAAATAAAGGATCCGAAGAGGATCTCTTTCCATCTTCAAGGTAAAGATTCTTTTATGTGTTAATCTATGGATTTGAAGAGATTTGGTTTCGTTTTATTTTGACTTTAGTAGTAAACAACAAACAAAAGACTTCAAAGAGTCCCACTTACAGGGAATTAAATAATTTTGCATGTTGATTAAATTAAGAAAGGGAAGAATGTAATTAGGTAATGGTTTGAATTCTTGTGCTCATTGTCTGAATTTCTCAGTCTTTGCTTTATAGAGATTTGAGTGATATGGGACGTCACTAACAATGGAGGGTCTAATCATGGGTTGGCAGCAACGTAATAGAAGGTTTACGGATCAGGATCATCTCCTGAGCTAAGGGTGTGAGAATCTTCCTGAGCAAGCTTATCAGATCGTTGAAATTTTATCTAACGGTTACAAATAGGAGGCCCCTCTAAAAGTTATAATAATTGTAACAGTTGGATAAAATTTCAACAGCCCAATAGGCTTGCTTAGGTAGTTCCTTACCCTTAGCTCAGGAGATGATCCTAATCCGAAGGTTTACACTGACTTTTCGCTCGTGCTTTTAAAAGTGCTTTGAGTATGAAGTAGAAGCACTTTAATCACTTTGACAATTTTTAGATGCAATCAAGTTAAGGAAATTCAACTAAATAGGATAGTTGTATGGTTAAATATAGAGACTTTGGATGAGGTCCTAAACTATGAATATTTTTTTACTGAAACCTTGTTGGTTTTCAATTTTTGATCGAAGTCCCTGAAATTAATGTGATAATTTTTTTATCGAAGTTCCTGAAATTAATGTGATAATTTATTTCTATGTATGTTACTATATTTTTTAAATTAAAAATTGAAATTTATAGTTGTTTATATTAATGAGATTTTAAATAAAAAAATCATAATTTGTGGGATTAAAAATATTAGAATATAAATATATTATTGTGTGTGTGTATATATACACATAGGTACATTCTTCAAAATCA